TGCTTTACAAGTGCAATATGCATCCTTGATGCACCATGGCCGGAACGAATGGATGCCGAATGCTGACACCCTAAACCCATTGTAACGAAGCATGTCAGTAGTTAATGCAAAGCACTTTAGCTGAGGCTCACAGACACCGCTCATCATCTCAGCCAATATAACAGCTTGTATTGTGAAGAAGTCAAGAGCGTGTCCTCAGCAGCGTCAGTGCATACCTATCGTGCATCTGGTTAGTATTTGGAGCTGTGATATAACGAGGACTACTGGACTACGCGTAGCATGGCTTTGTTAACCCATGACTTTCTGTTAAAATGTATCAACATGATATTATGGAAATATTAATCAAAGAATACATTTAGACTCCAGGAGAGCATCTTGAGATATTAGGAACATGTAGAACTGGCCAAAAGTTTATGAAATTTCTATTGTATTTTAATTTGTGGGGTTTTTTTCCAATTACAAAAACATTTTTTTTCCCATTTTAATCTAGCCCTTGCGAACTATTGTCATTGAGTAAGACCAGTCAAATAGTTCATTAGAATATAATTAAGAAATCTCTAAAACTATTACAGATATATTTAATGATGCATGGTCCACAGATTTTTTTCAAGCAGTCATATTTCTCCTGATCTTACAACTGCAAATGAAATAATTGCAAGGGGTGCCAACTTTGATTTCTTTCTGAAAGTAAATGTAACGTTTCTGAAAATAAACTGAACCTAGAGCAGGCAGTGCAGTGACTCCCCAGCGTGCAGAAACTGGACAATATGTTGGCTGGGCAGACTCTTGGTGGCTCAACCGGAGAGCCCCAACTCAGTCCAGGTCACTGAACAACTATCAGGTACCAATGACCAACTTCCATTCACTGCTGGGGGAGAATCTATTCAACATGGGGTCCAAGTGATGATGAAGTCAATGCCCAACTATCAGACAAGCCAGCCAGTTCTTAATATTTAAAAATTCAAAATTTCCATTCTGTTTTCAATTGACTAGGACAAAAATATACCCAAACCCAGAAAAGCAGCACCATTTCAACCAGCTGTTACCATTTAAAAAAAAGATGTTATTGCTATTGCACAGTTCAAGTAGAAACAGCCATACTTGCAGCCAAGACAACCCCTTAAAAATAAAAAAAAACCCTATTCTGTCTAGCATCTAGGACACTCACTTCAGACACAGGAGACCTGCGCTCCATTCCCTGCTCCACTGTGCACTTCCACCAGTTTGTTAACTTTCTATCAGTCGGACTGGTTGTGTTTCCGGTAGAAGGATGGGCTCATGGCACAGTTACTCTGTGCCTCTGCTCCCCATCTGTTGAAGAGGGATCAGTGCACTGTGACACCCAGGGAGGTTACAAGAAAAATATTTCAGGACTGGAAGGGAGCCCCTGGATCCTAGAGTCCAGCCTGCAGTTATCAGAGGCAACCGTGTTATATAATCTTTTAAAAAATGGATGAAACTCCATTTTACACCTATTGCAGTGATTTTTATTCTTTTTGGAACTGAGTTATATTAAAGGACTGCTGCAGTTATACTAAAGGATTAATATTGTCAAATGCCACAGAAACGGGGACCATGCAAAAGATCTAAAATCAACAGATATCACTACAGATATGCATGACATGACACGGTACGTATACATCTCTCTCCAACCACTCTCTTCGGTTGGAGAGATTTGTACCAGTTTTGGAGAATTCCTGCCTTTAAACTGGCTGCATTTTTCCATCTGGCAGAATTTACGTGCGCTCACTGAAACCTGGCTCCAAAGTACCACGATAATGTCACTAGAAGGTCACAATTTCCTTCATTTCAGCGAACTTCAACTAGCAGTGGTAATAGGTAATTACTCTAGACTTTAGCAGCTTTGGGCGCACACATTCTTGGTTTCTCCAACTGTGACATGCATGAATGCCAGACAGGCAGATGCGGGCAGAATGTAAAACCTAGAATAATAAAAAATGACACTTAATTTTATTTTTCCCCTTTCGTATTTTAAAAGCACGGGTAAAAATATGACCAGAACTCCGTGGAATCTGCTATGGGGATGGAAAGGATTTACCTTCCTTCCTCTGCAGTGTTACAGAGGTGTTGGTCTAAGGACAGAGGCAGACAAGGCTCTTTCGGTAAATCTGATATCTTTTATTAGTTAGTATATTTGAGTTGGTCTAATAAAAGATATCAGATTTATCCAAAGAACCGCATCTTCCTCTGGAGTGGGCATTTGAAGCTTTCACAAGTATAACAACCATGGCAGCAGATAAAAAAAAAAGCAAAAAAAAAGCTCCCAGCTTGCAAACAAATATCCCAAATATCATCAATATTGTTTTTTTTCCCCCGTTGCACATGATATGGCAATGAGGTCAGAGCAAAGCTAGAGGTGTATTCTGCACAGCCGCCGTTTTGTCCCCGTCCTGCGCTGACACTGATCGGCTACCGCGGCTGTATTCATGAAGCAGGACCTTGGACAGCAGCTAGTTAGTCGCTTCTCCATGACGGCCTGTCATGCTGTCAGTCCTCTCCTTCGGGCTGTCCTGAACATCTGAATCACATTCTCTCTGCACTTTCTCACTGACTGCAAGCTACTGTTGTCTCACTGTCTGACCTTACACAAACACAATACAAACAGACAACCCACCTCAGCTCCATCACTGTCTATTGCTAATATAGGGGATTGATAGCCACATGGAATTATCTCTCCGCTCGACCTTCATTACCGGCGTGGCATATTCCAACTGACAGCCAACCTCGTTCCAGAGGAAGCTAAACTAACAGCGGAGGGGTTTGGTGGGTTTTTTTTTTTTTTTTTGGGGGGGGGGGGGTTGCCCTCCAAGTGAAGTGAGTAACTTCCAGGTTTTAAATAAAGTCATACTCATACGCCCCTCTCAATAACACGCTTTTGTCAAATAGCAAGGTGTGCATTTTCCCCGGGGAGAACAGACAACTGTGAGCAAACAGGACCTGCAACCTTCAGCCTTTTGATTTCTAATTAGACATCTGCTAATGATTTGGTTATAGCAAAAAGGAAGGAGAGAGACAGCAAAACCCAACCTTCCCTTCGTGATGCAGGAATAGTCTTTAAAAAATTGCTGCATTCACAGAAATGCCTGTTTTGTGTTATTACTGGCCTTGCAAGTAGCACCTAGAGGACACATCTAAAACGGGGGTCCTGCTGCCTTGGGAGTGGGGCAGACAACGAGTTTACAGACTGCTGCTTTTCTGCCTGCTGGTTTTAATCCAGAGCAGCCTTCTCCCAGAGCCAATAAGACAGGGTAGTTACCCATAGTCACGTAGTTTAACCTGCCGCACCATTGACATAGGCACGCTGCTCTGTTACACCAGGGTCAGCAGAGTTCCTGGTTGCTCTATGGTCTGAATTAGAAATCCATTGACTTCAGTGGGCTTTGAATCAGGCTCCAAACACAGCTCCTCTTGTATGCACAGAGCCACGATGCATTCTGTGCATAGAAGAAGTAGGGCTAAGGAGCAGGGAACAGCCGATAATAACCTCGTCATGACAAGCACTCTTGTTTTGGCAGCATCTTCCCCGATACACTTCTGTTGAGGTCATTTCTAGAGAGCCTATTTGTAACACCCCCATTTGGAAAGAAACTGCAATGGCATAGCTGCCCAAAGTGCTGGGAGCCTTTTTATGACTGGATCATTACATGGGGTTTTGCACAGCTCTGCAACTACGCGAGTGTTGGAAATGCAAAGTGCCCCATGTGCTCTGGGACGGACAGGCGCCTACACACCACACAATACAGTCCTGTGCACTGCTCGTGCTCTCTCACTTACCTTTTTGGCTCTGGATTCGGCTGGGACTTGGAATCTTTCCTTTTTTTGGACTCCTTTTTGGAATCCCTTTTTGTCTCCAGTTCAGTGGTAGAGGGGTTAGATTTGCCCCCCTCGCTGTCTGCACTTGGCTGTGACCCACCAAGCAACTCAGTCAGCAGTTGGCTTTGGGGAATGATTTCAAGGGAAGGGTGAAGGGAAGGGGGTGAAGTCAGCAGCAAAAGTAAAAGAAACAGAAGAAAGCAAGAACAAAGAAATGAAAATGATCCAACTAAAAACACAAAGCAGAAACTTGCAAAAGAAAGTCAGAACTCAAACAAAATTAAGGAAACAGAATCTCTGCCTCCATGACAAGATGTAGAAAACCAACTGTGAATTGAATGGCAGTCTCGCAATATGAAATCCAGACAATGCATGTCATAATTCAGGGGGATGTTTACCCGAGAGTTTACAAAAAACACAATTATTTTATGGCACTCTCTTCCTCGGCGACACATACAGAATAGGGCATGATAGCTTCGGCTAAATGATGCACATTGAAAAAAAAAAATTGGAGTAAGAAGCTGCAACAGCTCCTGTAGCTGTTAATAAAATACACAGAGGAAAGGAAGCTTAGTCGAGCTACACTTTCTGATCACAGAAGCTTTGCTGTATTTGAGAGTGGAATTGGCAAGGTACGAACCTAAACCTGCTCTGTAACAGCGAGATGTGGCTTGATCTTTTGAACGATGCCTATGTGATTGAGGAACCAAAGTCCCACTGGCTTCTAATGAGACTCCAGCTCCTAATTGCCTACATGACTTTCGTGAATGGGACTGACATGCTTCTGATCATTTTACCTGTAGCATTTCACTGGACCCTGTCAGTTATTAACAGCTACCAACATAGCAGCTGATCTATTTCCATGCGCATTGTGTATAACAGTGACAGGCGCTTCACCCACCTCTGCGGTATCCAGAATTGCATGTAACAGGCTTGTGGGTTACAACTTAAAATACCGTCATTCTGGATCTGAATGCACATTTTTATTGCTTACACTTAAACAAGGAGAGAAACAAACAAACACACCGATCATGCCACCACCAGCGCTGCTGCCAAACATCCGGTATGGCAACAAATTGGGGACTGTTGTGCATTATCGAAGGAAACCTAGTTTACAAAGCCATCCCTTGCTGGCACTTAGCTGCGAAATAGAAATAATTCCTTACCTGTTGCCATGAACATGGGATGCACAAAAGGCAAAGCTGTAGTGAAGCAAGGTGGGATCAATCATAGCTCCGTTCTCTGCGCGTTCAAGTAAATCTCGGAGGTAGCAGAGATGTCTGTGACAGCCTCTGACTCCATTACGTGCACAATACTCATCTAGCACAAATACCTGGCCAGGACTGAACCAGCCCTGTTTAGAAATAAAGAGACTTGATTTTAAATAAAGGTTGTTAAACACAAGAGTTATTTGCTTTGGAGACGAAATGCTCAGCTGCTCTACCCCATGCTACAAACCGAACGGCAGGTAAAAGGCAAGGAGATTGGGGCCTGCATTTTTCAGTTCAAATGATACACACCGTGTGGCATAAAACACCCAATATACACCTGCTATAACTCCAATGAAAAGCACCAACTTTAAAAGAAAAGGTTATTCCAAATGCTGAAGAATGGAGATTAGGGTCAGTGTTCAGTTTCTATCATCAAAAAGTTGTTTTGCTTTTCAGGAAAGACAAAGATTTGTATATCCTACCAGCACAAAGAGGCAATGTCCTTGCTTTTGGGAGGATATTGTACGTTCAACCATGACCAAGATGATGTTCCTCTCCCGGTCAAAACAGGGAGCGACTTTATCTCAACATTTAGCAAGTGTAGAAATGCACTTAAGACGCCTGAATAAGGGTCCACGGTCCAGGCAATGGAAATGTCACATATTCCTCATTTCTGTGAGCAGCTACTCAGATTGGATCCCACCTATTAAAGTCTCTAAGGTCAAAATTGATAAACCTGGATGTAGAAGTAGCTTTGTTACTTCTTTCTTTTAACATCCAGCTCAACTTTGAGCCATTTTGGCACTTCTGCCCTAGTGCCCATGAGATCGGGCTTCAGGTGTGAAGTCACCATGCTCCTGGTGCCCTCAGCCACCCTGGCTGAGGTAGCATGAAGCGATGGCGACTCTTTGGGGACAACGTGTGTAGAAGATACCCCACCCATTTGCAAAAGCCCCTAGCTCGGATACGACTGTTCGCACAGAATGCTTTTCAAAACGCTGCAAAACCATCAATATTTACATGGAAATGTGGGTGCTACACGACTGATAAGATGCAGCTCTGGAATGCATCCGGCTGCAAAATCTTTCATCATTTAATTGAAAAGTTCCTGCAGCGGGCGGGAGAGTAGTTGAGGCGTGCACTGCCCCTATAGGCAACTTCGTTGCCACCCCATCTGCTACCCCAAATGCTACATCTCAGAAACAACACTGCTGTGAAAGATTAAGATATATTTTCTACCACTCAGATGACACCAAATCTTTTCTAGATGCCAAAATAGCTGCTTTGAAAAGAGTTGAAGAAATATCAATTAAGAGCTCAAAGGCATCGAAAGGGATTTGCTCATCCTTATTGGGCCAACTCCAAAACAGATTGAGAAAAGAATTGAAATAATGAGGGGGAAAATTACAGATATAGGAAATAGATACAGTTCTGGGATCACCAGAAAGTGCACGCTACAAAATTAAGCTACCGAGCTATGGGGAAGGGGCACCATGGTAGAAGTCCATTTTTTGGCAGGGTTTTTTATCCTCCTTGTTTTCGCTGGTTTTTGCAAGTCCTTATTCCAGGCTGAGAATATGTTTCCTTCTGTTAGTCTGCGTTTCTTTTTGTTACACGCTATGATCATTTATTCTCCTCTCCTTTCTTCCCCCCAAGCTCAGGGCTTTGTAGAGCAGGGAACAGGAGCACAAGAACACCCCAATAAAATCATTAACTACCGGGGTGCACACGTTTCAGGCTGTACTGAAGCGTACCTGAGCCTCCATGCAGACTGAAATCCCGACCCCACTGAAGACAATGGGGAGACTCCTGTTTGGTCCGGAGGGGCCTGGATATCACTCAGCGGGGTCGGGCCGAATGACGACTTTGGGACCGAGGCCACAGAGTTATTTGCACGGCTTTCCAGGCTGTGGAAGCTCATGCACGTCCTCACATCTGCAGCCACAGAAGCTGCTCTTTTTCTCCAAGGCACTGCTTCAAGCTCAGCTCAGAAAGGGTAGGACAGACGTCTTTAAGGGACACGTGCCTGGCAGAAGACGCAGCACGGCATATTTTACGAGGGCATTTCCGTAGTTGAGTGAACACGAGCCTGAGAAAAGCTTAGCAGAAACAGCTCCAAAACCGGAGCTCACTTCTCCGAATTGAGGCAAGTGTATGGAAACCTCTCGTTAGACTGGGGTAAGCTGGAAGTGCACGATAGCTTGTCCTCTGACTACATGGCATGCTGCAATCTGGGGAGCCAGGCTCTGGGGGAGAGCAGGGGGCTCAGGTATCAGGATGCTGGCCTCAAGAAGAGTACAAAAGTTTAATGTGAGCACACCTTTGGGGTCAAGATTCAGGCAGCGTCCTGGCCCCAAAAGGAAAGTCGCCTCTCCTACCCTGAAGTCCAATAGCGGCTGCAAACCCAGGAGGAGACCAAGGCCCTACCACCAGGCCTCCGGTGAAGGGTTGGCAGACACACGCAACAAATGGTGCAGACAATACTTCTCTGCCCTTTCCCCAGAACGCTTTCTGCTGCCAGCAAGCATCATTTCTGCCTTATCTGAGATGAGTCACAGCCAGTTTGTTTTCATACAGATGCCTGTCTCAGTCAGACAGTGGGAAAGTAATGAGACTGAATCATCCGGGCTCCATGGCAGGGAGACAGAGCTGAGCATCCCTCTCCATCCATCAGGACGGGGCACCACAGCCACCACAGTCTCTTCTGCAGGCTCCTCCTAAACATGTGCACCCCCTCAAGAAGAGGCACAGGAGAAAAGACCTCTATGGGAAGAGTGCAAGGGGCTGGAAAACATCTGGAAAGGGCTCTGCCACCAAACATCTGGAAAGGACCCCACCACCAAACCGCATCTATAAGGCTGCACAGGCCAGTTAACAAATCCTCCCAGCCAGTGGTATGAAAATCCTTTGACAGGCCTAACAGGAACATCTGGACCCTCTTCCCAAGGAGGAAAACAAGCGTCGAGGTCTGCATCTTTTCAGTTTTGCACCTAGTGCAAACCATGCTAAGAGGGAGGGAAGAAACCTGCTGAAGCCCAATGCAGCTGGAGATAGCCCAGCACCATCTTCTGGCCAGCCTTCCTCGGAGGCGGACAACAGGAAAGAGAGGCTGATCGCTGGTGAGAGCATCCTCCAAAGGACCAAAGGGGTCGGATAGATGTCCCCACCTAATCTGCCAATACGACTCACTCAAGCCCCCTGCGTGGTATGTAGGGAAGTTTTCTCCCAACTCTGCCCAGCTCCGGAGCAGGTCGCCACGCCACGCCACCCTTCCCTCCTTGGCATGGCTCTCCTGGTGTTTCCCCCCAAGATGAACAGACAGATTGTCCCCCAAACTCAGTTGGCTTGTTCTCTTTAGGGAACGACCTGTAGCAACTAAGGTCCACAAGGACAGAGAGGAGTCTGGGCTGTCCTGTGTTACTTCCTGACCCCTTAATCAACTTAACCAACAAACCCCTTAATCAGCAGCTATGGTGGTGCGAATGGCAGCTGCTCTTGTTCTCCCAGGACTTTCTCTCTGTACCTTGGACTGATTCTCTGGGAAGTTGGGAGGGTCCTTTCCTACCTGGTTTTCCATATAGCTTGTTAAAACAGGAGAGCTCCCTCCTCAAAATCCACTGCCCTTCCTAGGGAGAGTCTGGTCAGGTGAAAAAGAAAAAGGGTGTTGAATCCTCCTGACAGCTGGGTGCTGCTTAGAGGAGTTATTGCTTCCTCCTTTTCGGGGCATGTGCTGTTGGTAGGAGGTGATGACTTCCAGCACATCGGGCTTTGCTTGTGCATGATGAGCAGCTAGCAGAGTCCTATGCCTGGGCTCCTACGCATGCTCTGAAGGTCACGGTCAAGGTCCCTGGTCACTGTCGCTGAACCGGGGTAGAGCCCCAGGGTGCAAAGCTCCTGCAAGGGCTGCCTTGTAAGGGGAACAGGGCTCTCTAGGCTGTCACCTTCATTTCAGGCCTGATCTGAAACCCTCTGAAGTCCCTAAAAGACACCCATTGACTTCAGCCGGCTCGAACGGGACTATCCAACAAGTCAAAGCTTGTACGTTGCTTCCCAGTCTTCACCAAAATCTCCCCAAATCCACTGACAGCCTCTTATACTTTCATTTTATTTGATGCCTAAGGACACCTATCCAGAACCAGGTTTCTACTGTATTAAGCACTGTGCAGCCAAATCACAAAGAAGTCCTAACTGGATGCCTTGATATTATTTTTGTTATAAGATAACGGCTTGGGTCCTGCAACTCCTGCATGGGAAAGTCATCGCGACTCAGTCAACAGGACTGAGTCTGGATTATGCTGAACATCTGCTAACTTCACCTTGCCCCAGCGGTCAGCTCTGTGGGACCCCGGCTTACAAGCCTAGACCATCCCTAGGTCACATCCCTTCTTGGCGTGACACCGCTGTGGTAGGTGGGGGAACCGGGCAGGTTCGTTGCCCCTGGTCTTTCAGCCCCACAACTCTGCAAGGCAGTGCTGGAAAATGCAAAATGTTATTGCTGCTGTTTGCAACATTTCCCCCGTACATGTGTGTGTCTTTGCAGGGAACGAGCACTGTAAAAAAGGCAAATACAAAGGACAAACACGGCATTGTTACTACAGCAATACAACAGTAAGGTCACCGTACATAGCGTCTTACAAACAGAGCCCTTCAGGCCAAATTTACATCTGGTGTAAGCGGGGGTCACTCCTTTGTCAGCAAGGGAGTGGCTCGCATGAGCTCTGACTTTAATATCACTATAGACCAAAGAATATACTTGCCAGACAAGAATAGGAATCATTAAGTCTGTGGTCCAAAGTGAGGCGCTGAACCATCTCAAAGAGTGAAGCGTGGTCAAAGTTACAGGGGTTGGAAGAGATAAATTCATCCATGCCATGCTTTTGAGCTCTATCTGCATCTGTTCATTTATACATATAGAGAAAGACACCATTTAGAGAAATACAGCACATTTCATTTGACATGTAAAACAGAACCCGCCCCCCCACCAACCAATATACAATATGAAGCATGAAAGCTAAATAATATCTTCTAATGCCATTAAACTTCTATTTCCCATGGCTATGAAACATAATATATTCTTTACCTCCCATTGTCAACTTGCATCACTTAATCACTATCTTATTGCATTTAGGCAAAAGATTTTAGAATTAACATCTCGTCAACTGCTCATTATAGTGCATTTATTCTGTACTTAAAAACAGAACACAAAACCAATAACTTATTCTGCATCTTACAAGTACACTAGAAGCTATAAGATTTTTGGCTTCCAAAAGTAAATTAGCTCCTATTTAGTTATTTGTAATTAATTATAATAGATTCTGCCATTCTAATGCAATTATGTCAGTAGCATTTTTCTCTAAATTGACTAAGTTCCCTAGGTATAAAACCATTTCTATTGTTTTTGGACCAAAATGCCAATATTTGTCTCCCCATCTCCGATTTTTTGGGGTTTTTTTGTTTTTGTTTTTTAAACAAGAGCTTTTAAATGCTACCTCAAAGAAATAATAATAAAAAAAAAAGATGCTCATTTAAGCATTGCTGATAAGTTAAATTGAGATGTAGTTTGTTGTCACTGAGAAAGTAACCTGATAGCGTGCGGATTCTGTTAGTCATCTTGACAGACAGACAGAATTTACTCCGCTATGATTATGATCTGCCGTGGGTTTTGGTTTTTTTTTTTGGTGAATTAATAGCCTCAATGTATTCACACTTCCCTGCTTTGGGTGACGTTTGCAGGCACAGACTCCTAGGGGCTAACTAATTAATCTCAACATGTACAACTAAAAATATACCAAATTCACCAATGGAAACAAAACAGACAATTTCATCGGGGTGTGGCCACGCGGGGACCCCCCGGGCGCCGGCTTTGTCCGATGGACAACGATGGAATTAAAAGACTTGTTTCACTCTTTTTTTTTTTTTTTTTTTTTTTTGCATTTACTCAGTTTCCTACTATGCGGGCTCTTGCCAAATCCTTAACAAACAGACCAGGATTTAAATCCTCACTCTGTTTACAACCTCCTAGGGGAACTGTATAGCCTTGAAACAATTAGGGAGACTCAAAGGGGACAAAACCACAACGCATTCAAATGTAGTGTTCCTCGGGAATCAAGTCGCAGCTCTATTTGTTTTTACAGCAAAGCGGCCCGTTCCCGGAGGGACGGAAAACGCTACACTTAAACAAACAAACAAGCAAACACCCAACCGAAAACGGGCAAGGGAGCTTATACGCTACGCCGTGCGATTTAAGTTTCCTTAACGATTTCGTCTTAAACTCCTGAAAGACAGCGTGTTTTTACCAGCTGCCTGGATGCAGATATTCTCCCTTCTTCTAGGAGGTCGTTTCTGGCTTTTTCAGTAACTTGTAGGATTAATTTTATGCACTCCTCCTTACCTATCAGAATGACAACACAGACACATAGGACACATGCAACATTTCAATTAACTGCAAGCAATACTTAATTCAGCAGGCCTGGTCATGCTTGTTTTTAATCAGCAGTCTGCTGATTAGACCCTGAGGTTCAGGATATGTCCTGCAGTTTGGGAGGAGGGGGGTGCATTTTTCTTCCTTTCTGGTGTTTAACCTGCTGATCCCCGTTTGCTCGGTCTCTGCCTATGACTTTGCACCCAACTGGTTTTTCCCCTCGGTATTACTCCGTACATCCAGCCCGGAGAGTGAAAAAGCAGCTCCATCTACAGTCAAGGCTGCCAACGGATTAGCCGGCGTGCGTGTTGGCTGAGAGGTGCAGCGCCGGCTTCCCAACATGGAGAATGAGGATATCACCTCCGTGACACGTTTTGTCCCCGCCAGCCCCAGGCGCAGGATCTAACGTCCATCCCAAAATCAGGTCCCTCATTGCAGCACACGACCACCACGCCGCCAGGCTGGTTTCTATCTCCTTTGACAGATTATGCCCCATCATCTCTGTCCCTCTGGGCCAAGATCGATTTGATTAATATGAATACGCGACCAAAGGTTTTGTAGACACTGTTTTCAATTCTGCCCATAAAATGGCTTTAACAGAGATATCAGGCTATTTTTTTTTTTTTTTTTAATAGTCAGATTGTTGCTCTCAAATTTCTCTGAGTCGACTGCAAGCTGACAAATTGGCTGCGGGCCTTCATTTGCCAGTTCTCCTTAGATATTTTATTACTTTTCAATTAGGAGCCATGGTGCATTGTCAATCCTGTTGGCTCGGTAAAGGAGACTCTTAGCCCTGAGCAAACCAACCACAAGTTTGAAGGGCTTGCTCTCTCTTTGTTGGTTGAACCTCTTTAACTGGATCTTCTAGGAACCTCTATTGCAAATTAACACCCTTTCTTATAAATGTGCATTGCTTTCCCCTCTTTCACACTGATCTGGGATACATTTCAATTTCCCTTCGCCAGATGGACACCAGGCAGATCTTCGCCTGATGTAAATTGTCGGAGCATCCCTGGCTTCAGTGGAGCTGAAGACCTGCCTCATGATTTTTAAGCCCTCTGCTCAAAGATGAGCATACAGACCACCTTCCTCCCGGCACAGGTGGGCTCAAAACTCGCACACCGAGTTACGGCGTGAACGGACCCGTGTCAACGTCCGCTGCACCGGGGAAGATTTAAACCTAAGACAGTTTTATCTTCGTTGTCTTTGCAAAGCGGTCTCTGACCTACAGCCCAACTGGGCGCCTCCCTGGGATCCACTCTGAGCCTGCGCTGGCTTAGAGCAACCGTGCGAAGAGACAGATATCATACAAGGTATCCGATGAGCGTGGCTGACCAAGATGCATTCCCAAGAAGGGTTATTTGCATGTCTCTGGCTCATCCGAGTTATTTAAAGTGCGACTGTCTGACACAGAAAGCAAGACTCCCGATAGCAGTCCTCGTCACGGCTCAGCACTGCAGCATGAGACTCCGACTGCGTTCGGGAGTTGTTTTGTGTAGGCAGCATTGGATGTGTTCAAATCGCTCTGCTTGGATCTAAAAATTAAGCATGATTCAAAGTGGAGATGCCGCTGAAGAATGATTTGGCTGAATGTTATACACACACTTCGTTTTAGGTTAAAATACTGTCCTGGTCTCGTGGCTCAAAATTTTCCGGGACACCCAGCCTCCATCTCTATGTGAAAAAAAAATAACGAAGGCCCTCCTTTAGACTTGCCTTCCCTCAGTGAGGTCTTACAAAATAAATGCACCATGCAACTTGCAATTTTTTTTTTCATTATTACTTCTTAAATGCACCATGCAACTTGCAATTTCTTTGCTTCTTCATTATTATTTTCTGTTAAATGAATGATTTTTAAAGCTCAAATTCAACTCAATTATGCTAAAAACATCTCTCTCCCTAGAAAAAAAGCACATCATCGCACTAAATATATCACCCCACCCACCTGATACAGACATTCAACATTTTAAAATAATGACTACCCCTGCAGGTAAAACAACGGCTTCAGATACAGACAGTCAGTCATCGCTCAGAAGGGTTTGTGCAGCCTGAATGCGATTTTAGGCAAAATAAAAAATAAAGGAGCTGGCTTCTACTCATGCTCAAACTGTACCAATTATTTGCAGACACTTTAAATCAGGCATTTAAGTCAGACAAATTCTTGTGACCCTGAGCTGTTCTCGTAACAGTGAATAATAGGAACAATAATTAATAATAATAATAATTATTATTATTATAATATTAATAATAATACTAAAGAGAGAAAATGATGTGATGCTCTAGTTATTTACAATCCCTTTCCAAGATGCTTGTGCCAAGTTAGTTGGCACTTCTGTATTCAAGGCCCAAGACAAAATTATGCTACAGGCCTAGAAAAGTTGTCTTACATCTTGGACCATCGCTGCACACAGATTTAGCTTTAAAGGAAGCAAGGTGGTGGTCTAAGAAGAGAGCCTGCAAGCAAAGTTATACCAGCAGTACCAACTGTGCGAGCTATCGTTCTTCACAATCAGAGGCAACAGCCTCTTGTACTCAACTTTGCAGTTGATATCGTTGCCTTTCCTTATGCTTCTTTTTTAATTCCATTTTTTTATTTTATTCATTCCTAGCATTAAAAAAAAAGACAGGAAAAGAAAAGAAAAACTCTGTCAGGTTTATCCTGTTGGCATTAACTCGCCCTACTGTGATCTTCTGCCAGACACATTTTGTATATATGTTTGAAGTCAGAATCTTAAAATCTGCCAGTGTCACTCTGACAGAGCTTAAAAAAAAGAAATAAAACAAGGATGAAGAAACACCCTGCCACTTTATTCTATCAGGGCAGTCCTTCTGTTATTTTCTACTGTCAACCGAAAGCAACAGACAAAAAGGTCAAACATCCCTTTCTTGCTATTTGTGTATCCCCCCCCCCATGTTTCTTTTGCAAGATTTCTGGCAGATTTTTATGAGATGGGTGAAGTTAACGACAGGGAAACAAGCTCCATAAAAGAATTCTTGTTATAAAAGGCTCTGGGCAGCCATTTTATCTTAAGAATTTTTCACTCCAAATTATTTATTTTCTGCAGCGAGCGACTGTGTTTTAGTACCAAAGGCAAGTGAGCAGCTTTGACATTTTCCAACACGTTTGTTTATATAGATATAGATAGATAGATATATCTATATAAAAAAAAAAAAAAAGAACTGTAAATTAAAAGGTGACTTTGTATCTTACTCATCTGGAAAATGTGTGCTTGTCATATCTGCTTGACGTTACAAGAATGAAGATGTGGTTTGGACGGTAACAAACAATGACACTAGTCAACCTCATCAGGAGACATGAAATAAAGGAATGACAATGATTGATGGCAGCTATTCATTTACAGAGATTTCTAGAGGAGTCTTGATTGGTGTGGTCAGACTACTGTGCTAAGTTTTTCAGGAACTTCACTCTTCTCCAGCTACGCACAACAGTGGGAGGGAGGATCGGGACAACT